ACTGCATATTTTTCATTATGTACCGGACTTTATGTGTTTTGGACGATTTTTAACTACCTACTTATTGAACATAGACTTTTTTACTCGGACATTTTGGTAGTATACCCAAATTTCTATACACGTTTGAATACGTTAATCGCCATAAAGTAATTTATAATTCAAATAAATTCATATAATAATATCAGTAATTCAGTAAATAATAATATTAATATGAATTTTACTATTTATATTGTGGTAAGTAAAAAAAAAAATAGCTAATTTATACCAACACATCTTGTTCCATATATAACCTATACCTAACGGTTTTGAAAACATAATTTTGTGTTTCGTAGGTATTTTGGAAWTTTTGAATTTTTAAGTCATATTTTAGAATTGTGTATACTTTTTTACAAAATAATATTTAGGATTTCGTAAATTTATAAAATAAACCAAACATTTTTGTTTCAAATTCATGAATACCAAACTCGTTTTAGATTCTGAGCGGAGTTATGAATGTATTGATTTTACAATGAAGTGTGTTTTTTATGTGTGTGTGTGTGTGTGTGTGTGTGTGTGTGTGTGTGTGTGTACACGATAAGTTGTCGAAATAATTTTTCGATTTTTAATTTCTGTAGTTTGGGGAGGTCAAACTTTAAAATTCCCAGTAGTTTTCAAAAGCATCGAGAAAAAAAATACGAGAAAGACTTTAAAATAAAAACTTTACATATTTTGGTGTAACTCTAAAACAAATTACCGTAGATACAAGACATTTTCAATGATATTTATATTACAATTTTCTCTACTTGATTAGATTTTCAAAATATTCAAATACTTTTAAGCTATAAATAGATATCTGTAATATTCGAGTTTTTTAGTTTTTTTTTCTATAAATATCAACAAAATTGTATTCGTTTGGTAAAATCGCTTCAAAATGTAATACAAGGCTCCTAATATATTAATGCAATGATACTTAAAAATAGTCATAATATTTTTTTTAATAACCACGAAATTTTGCAAATTATTTTGAGTTAAAATTGATTAAAATTCATAAAAATGTAGCTTTTTAAATCTAAGAAATTATTCAAGTTTGTCTTCTTTTATCAAATAAAAATTGTCTATTGGAAAGTAAAATTAAATTTATATGAGTATTAATTTTTACAACATATTCACTCATATTTCAGGATATTCATTCGATTTCTCTTGTACCGATATTCATATTTTGTTATTTTTCAAAAACGAAACTGTAGAAACTTGAAATTTACACCATATATTTATTTTATAATATTTTCAAAATATTTCAACTTTATTTAAGTTATTTAAAGACATTTGAAATTTTCTGTTTTTTTAGTATTTTATTCTATAAATGTCAATAAAATTTTATATTGTTGGATCAAAAATTTTTAAAATTTAATTCAAGGTTCCCCATAAGTTTATGTAATAGCAGTTGGAAAATATCAAAAAATATTATAAGTACTTTTTTTATAACCATATAAAGTTCAAATTTAGAACAAGGTTCCCCATAATTTGATATTAGAGCAGTTAGAAAATATTTAAAATTATCAAGATTAATAAAAATGTAGGGCCATTATTAGTGTGAGTTTAGTTCAGTATAGGTAATGTTGGTATCTAGATGTATGTGGTGAGCTATTTCACTCACGCATGTGCAAAAGTCAGATTAGACACTCGAAAATAATATTGATGTACATTAGMAACTATCGATGATGAGAAAATATAAGTTTTGCGAAAAAAATATATGTAGGCCATGGGTCTACTATAGGTAGGTACATAAAATTACAAGTGTTATAATGACACAGTTAATTATGATAAAAAGCTGGAATTTAAAAATATTGTCGACAGAATCTGAGAATAGTAGAAAAATAGTACCTATCTAGGAAGTTAAATTATAAAATATATTTTTTAGTTAAAACTTTATGTGGTAGTGAAAGGTTTTATTGTTGTCAGATTATAATTYTGAAAAATAATTGAAATTCAAGATCCTTATATCACAATATGCTTTGTAGAATGAATTTATTTTCAAGATTTTGGATATTATATAGTTGAAGATAGTATGCTTTAACCTACGGTTCTAAAATAAACATGCACATTAATGGGCAGACAAAAAAATAAAAAAAAAATGAAAAAGCTTTTCCTTCAAAATATTAAAAAGGACCGCAAACGAATTAAATTATTTTTCAAAACTAGAATTGTACGGCTAGAAATGTGTTTGTTTTTATTCGGTTATAAATTATAATTATTGGTGTGAATAAAATCCCCTTGATACGTTTTAATAATAATTATGTAGCCCAATAACCGATTTTGAATATTAATTTAGTACCAATAATGTAAAAGAAATATTGTATACTTATACTTATGTGACTTTGCGAATTCTTATAATAAATATTCACCCATCGTATTTTATAAAAAAATAAATAATATATAGGTAGCTCTTACAATATCGATAAAGATTAAACAAATTTTTTCAATTTCTTGATGATTTTTCATATAAAATACCTACTTAAAAATTAACAACTATTCATTTATAAAATCAAGAAAAAAGTTTTTTTTTTTATCAAGCATTACCAGGAAAATAATAAAATAAAAAAAATAAAATATWGTATCTGTATTATGTTATAAATTTATAATAATTATGTTTATATTTAAAATTAAGAAATTGTTCAAATTTCAAAAACATTTTTATCATTCAGTCATGCCTAAAAGTTGTCAAATTGTATTTGAATTATCACAGTTACTTTAAATACAATAATCAACATATTATGAAAAAAGAACAATTAATCTTAAGTAGTTCATTTTGGTTTCAGTTCCTCAAAGCATGACCTTAAAAATATATGCGGCTTTTCATTTGGATCATAATACTCAGGACCCTGAAAATCAAACAAATAACAGAGTAAAACATTAAAAATAAATTGAGACAGAAGTTATTGTTTTATTTCTATTAGTTAGTAGGTATAACCTAATTAAATATTTCAATTTGTTTTACAACTCTAATATGAATTCTGATGTTAAAATATTTATAAACTTTTCTAAATTTAATTTTTTACTCAATATTACTGAATTTCATAGAAATTTAAACTATAAAACTCAATTTAAGTTTTAAGGGACCATAAATTATCTTAAGAAGCTATCAAATGATTATTTCAAACTAAAATATTTCGATAATATCTTTAAATAGTTATTTAAATATGATAAACACATTAGGATAGTTTATTGTATTTTTTTTTTTTTAGTAAAAAATTGAAAAAGGTTTCAAAAATTATAATAACATTAACTCCAGGTGTGATTATACCCGATGATTATTTATTGTGGAATGCTCATTATTCCAAAATGGGTAGATGTGTTGAAAAAAAAATGTTTTCACTGTTAATAGTTGTTAAAAATAAAAATTTTAAAAATATTTGTATATTTTTAAAGTATTTTTTTTAATGACAAAATCCCTTTTTATTTTCATATTTCAAAGTAAAATATTTTTCTAAGCATTTTGATAGGTACATAAAAATTAAATTTAGGACGATCAATTAATGAGTTATTTTAAAGTATTTTAAGTTGAGATGAACGGTTACTCCGCAAAATGTTGGCCCATTACCCTAAACTTTAAATACTTATAAGTCCAGTGCTCCCACAGGGGGTGAGATAGACCCATGGTACTGCGGCCCGGTGTTCATGCAAATAAAGTGTATTAAGTATTATAATGTATAAGTGTACCTAGAATTATACATACATATATTCAAATATTATACAGTATAAGTTATAATTAGGGCTCGGATGTTGTTGCCCTAAAAATGTTATAAAATTGATTGCATTATTGCTGTGAAAAAAACCGAAATTGCACTTAAAAATTGCAATAAAAAAATATTTTGTACCAAAAAAATAAAAATACAATATATTAACCAATTATTTTATGAAATGGATTAAGTCATTTTATTAAGTAATATTATAAAGTTTTATTAGATAGGTTTTAAACGAGTAAATAATAAAAAGATTCAAATTCTCGTCAGTTGTCATTAAAAATCTGGTAAATTGTGCGGTCTTCTTATTTTTTCAGAAATCTACAAATAATTTTATTAAAATTTATAACTTTTTATTTAAACTATTTTTTATTTGTTTTTTTAAAAAAACCTTACCTGACCTTAAAAATTATTGCACTGTATAATATAACAAAAAAAATTGAAAACATAAAAAAATATATAAAATTGTATTGAAAATGACGACAATCAACAAAATTGCAAAAAGTTGCACTTAAAATTTTTATATATTAATTGGTACTCGTTTGAAATAAATTTATAACTTRCTTAGCAACGAATCCAAACAATAGAAAAAAAATGCAAATGCAACAACATCCGAGCCCTAGTTATAACTATGGTTTGGAAGTTATAGGAGTTGCATATTATTCTGTATGCTCTCGATTTATAGCAGACTAAGCTATAAATMCAAGCTACAAGCATACATTTAAAGAAATAATAATAATAAGTTTATTTTGCCAGTATAAATTTTCAGTGATACAAGAAAGTAATAGTACTAAGTAAGAATAAATTATATTGATTCACTTCTAAAAAGCTAAAAGCTTGTGCTAAGAAGTGAGAGTTTCTTATAACATTATAATATCATAGGCGAATCTAGGAATTCATAGCAGGGTATGCCTTTACTTCAAAAAAGTCCTCTGTAGTTCAAAATACCTCTCAGTTATCACACGTTTAAAATATGTTTCCCATTTGAAATAACATTAATAATATTAAATAATATTATTATGATTAATTTTTATTACCTAGTTTAGATGCTATTTTTCTTGCTGTAGAATACACATGTAATGTTTCAAAATTATTCAATTTTTTTTTTGTACATACTTACAACCAATAATTAAATTGTTAATCAATTATGTTTAAAATTCTTGGAAGTTTAATATAACATCTTATTTTTATTATTATTAATAACAAAGAATTGTATTAAATATATAACATAATTTTATTATCATTAATAAGAAAGAATTGTATGAAATATATAATATAGGTAGGTAACTGATATCTAGTAATAGGCGACTAGGCGACATAATATTATACTTAATACTTAATACGAAATCAAGTWTTTTTCATTTTGTTAATAACCATAAAAAAGATAATTACTGGTAAAATTAAATTACATAAAATAACTATGATTATGGCTACAAATTACGACTATAGTCGTGCTATAAATAAACAGGCATGTTTTCTCTATTCTTGAAAATATTGCTGATCTTTTATCAACTATCAACATGCTTATCACTATAATATTAATTGACAATATTTTTACCCATAAAAATGTATTAAAATTAAAATACAAATTGTTTAATGTTTAGACTCAATACCATTGTAACTGAAGTCTGAAATGAGTATTATGGGCCCTACAAAGGTTTATACGAGTCGCAGGGTGTGCACTGGCACACCAGGCCCACCCTGTAGATTCGCMTATGTATAATATATAAACGAAATAACTTAAAAAATTAATACAACATGAGGGAATAAAGTAAAATAAAATACTTACAAATTATAATTAAATGTAACATAATCAAACTGGTTAAGCTTAATATAAGATTTTAAAGAGTTAATATTATTGAAGTTGAAAAAATTTTAATTTAATTTCTGACACAATAATGTACATTTGTAAACAGGACTCTGAGAGGTTACATATTTAAAGCATTTAATAGAATTAAGATTAAAATGACATTTATTTCTAGTATTATAATTATGTTCTATGGTATTCAAACAATGTCTATATTTATAAACAAGTAAAAGCAAAGATTTATAATATAACATGGATATAGCCGATATRGGTTGAACATTAAAATCAATGTATAACTGATTTGTTGGATATAGAAACGGCTTAGAGATAATAACTTTTATTAAATTATTAATAGTTGTATTTAAAGGAATCAAATAATATTTATAAGTACCACCCCAGAAGGACAATCCATAGTAAACTAAAGATTGAACTAATGACATATAAATAATTCTCAAGTGTATTAATATCTATAATGTATTTAAAGCTTTTAAAGTTATAAAATAATTTCCTGATAGTATTAACCAATGTACTTACATGATAATTCCATTTTAGTTTTTCATCAAATATTAGCCCTAAATATTTAATTTGATTTACTCTTTGAATATGTTGACAATTAAAGGATACAATTTTATTTTTACAATTTAAGAAAGGTGGACAAATGAAAATTTTTATAAGGTAGTTGAATTTGATCTAAGATTAAATAGTATATAATTAGACTTTTTTAGGTTTAACTTTAAAAAGTTATTATAATGACAACTCTGAACAATATCTAGTGAAAAATCAACATCATAAAATAAAACATCAATACTTTTATAATTAAAGAGCGTAACTGTATAATCAGCAAAACTATAAATATCACCTTTTATAAAAACAATAAGAAGGCCTTTAACATAAATATTGAATAATAAAGGGCTAATACAGAACCCTGTGGAACATCAATTGAAATATTATTTACATTACTATATTCACCATTAATCACTACAATTTGAATTCTATCACTTAAGTATGACTTAATTAATTTTAAAATATTACCCCTTATCCCAGCATAGTGTAATTTTCTAATTAAAAGATCTAGATTTACAGTATCAAATGCTTTTTTTATATCAAGAAAAACACCTATTACATGATTACTTTTATCAACATTATCATAAATGTAATGAGTATATTAAATAAAGTGTCGTTAGTAGACATTCCCTCCCTAAAACCAAATTGAATAAATGCATATTTCTCGGTTTTCATATGCATATTCAATATTTTCTAAAATAATTGATTTTTTTCTTTGTTAAACTTTGTATTTTAAATATAATGAAATAATATATAAATAATTAAGTGATTCAATGCAACAACTTAATAGGTATCATAAAACACATATATTTATTTCATATATAACTTCACAAATAATGAAAAAAAAAAAAAAATTTGGTTTAATACAATTTCAAATGAAAACTAGTCACGCCCCATATTTTATTTTTCAAAAATATATATTTTTTTGTGTATTAATAAATATTAATTGATAATTAATAATGACGTTATATGTTTTTGATTAATGAACCTTGATTAATGTTTTGCATATTTCACATTTTTTCATGTATATTTTATCATTTTTTTGCACATATTTTGCTCCTATTACTTCCATCTTAGTTCTAACAAATTACACTATTTTATTTTTACCTAACAAGTGTTATATAACTTTTTGTTTTTCAAGATTTTAAATTTTAACCCATATTTTAAGTTTCTACTATGTATATATTATATATGTATTACACGTGTTTTTAATTTATAAAGGATATCTATACATTTGTTGGTATTTTACTTTTTATATTAAATTATATTAAATAATATGTATTTTATTATTTATAAGCATGTAAGGGTTAGTTATACCTACTCTTATAATCTACAGGTACATAAAACTAATATTTGAGATATATAAATGTCRAAAAACTAATGGATATTAAAGACGGAACTAGATTTAGTTTAGTACCAGTGAGGGGACATGCTTATAAGTAATTAACACTCATAAATTACTCGTACTGATTTGATTCATATGTATTGAAATACTCGGAAAAATATTATGCTTCCAAAGATGAAATGAAAACTGTTGTATTATCCAAAAATGAATACAAATTAATAAAATATAAGAATAAAAATATTTAATCAATGGCTTATAATTAAAACATAATTTTTTATATGAAAATGTTATCTAACGAATGGAAATAAAAAAATATTATATTAAAAAAACAATATAATTTTTTGAATACTAAGTATTGCACATTAAATTAATCACTCGGTATATCTTATCTCTTTGGAACTTATTTTAAATTTGTCAAAGTTGTAAATAAATATTAGATATTAATTTGGTATTAGTGTGGTAGTTTTAAACCTTAAAGTAATTAATATACAAACCTTTGACCAGTCATATCCAGAACTGTAAGCAAACATTTTGCCAGTACTGTTAAAACAACATTTTGTGATTGATTGGTCTAATACTTCGGACATCTTCAATTTTGTACGTGATTCCTTATCCCAAAATGCAAATGTGGCATTAGATCCCACAGTTGCAAATGTATCATGGATTGGATGAAACTTGATATCATTAACCTGTTAAGATATCGAATAAATAAGAAATATAAAATAGTTTATGTTAACAAATAGCTACATACGGCATATATGTTTCGTGTGGGTGGTATTTTCAAGATATTTCGACAGTGGCAATTTAATGAGAAAACATCTTTAGTTTTTTGTGGTTTAAAGTTTGAAAAAACAGCAGTACCTCCTCCAATATTTCCCAAACCAAAACCTAAAATAAAACCTCTTATATTTCTATACTTGCATGTTAATATACATATTTTTTTAATAATATTACTAACCAGTAGGAATTTGTGTTATCTTATCTTTGAATATTGCAAYACAACGATTTTGATATTTAAGAGGAGATGTTATTTGATCTATCATTGACGGTGTCCCATCTAGTTTATAAGTAATTACAACATTTGATGCCGTACCGACAACTGCAATAGGATATTCCTAAACAATTAAACAATTAATTGTTGATATGTATAGTACCTACGTCTTTTAAAATAAATAGTTAAAAAACACAATAATAAGTACAAGATAAAATTAGTTAATAAGTATATCTAATAACTATTTTTGATGTAGTTAATTAATAATTTATATTTTTATAAAATATGATGAAATAAACTTACCACATCAGCACAGTAAACTCTTTCGGATAGATTAATGGTCGTTGTGGGACGTGTACATCTAAGATCCCAAAACTAATAAATAAAAATAAAATAAAATATAAYACTTGAAGTACATAATTAAATATTTTTATAGGCACTTCAAAACATATTAAAGTAAATTACATATCAAACGATTTGATAACTAYAGGAAAACATATTAGGGGAGACTGGCTATATATGACATACCAGGATAATATGACACTTTAATGTTTCGTTAAGAAATAGTAATATTTAAGGACCAAGGAGCTTTTAAAAACATTATTTATAACCTCCTATACATGATTTGACATGTTAGCAGCTTGCTTGTACCTTATCACAGAATTGGTAATCAAAATTATATTTTGTATATTATCCATAGACATATAAATATATATATATATATATATATATGTCTATGATATTATTACATTTTTTTTTTTTATCACATTTAATATTTATTTTTTATATACATCATTTTGTTGTACTTGAAAATTTTGAATTTCATGTTACACAAAAAAAGGTAAGCTACAATATAATTCTATTGAAAATAAGCTTATGTTAGTACTTTTTCATGAAGAAACTCAAATAAAAATTGCACCATATTAGGCAAAATGACATAGTGGCGTGTCATTTTTCCCTAGTTACAAACATTTTATAATATTTATATTGTTTTTAGTTAAGAATGGTATCCAACTATAGTCGCAAGACCAACCGACAAAAATGGTCTGAAAAAGATATGTGTGATGCAATATTGGCAATAAAAAATAAAGAAATGGGATGGCTCAAAGCTTCTCAACAGTTTAATGTTCCACAAGCTACACTTCGMCGTCACTGTCAAAATAAAAATAAAATAGCAAAAGGTAGAGTAAAAAAACTTAGTCGGGGAAGTATTTTGACAACTGTTGTAGAAAAAAAAATAGTTGATCACATATTAAACTTAGAGTCAAGGTTTTTTGGAATAACAACCCATGAAGTGCAGAAGTTGGCATTTGAGTTTGCCGAAGAGGCTAAATTATCACACAATTTCAATAAGGAAAAAAAATAGCAGGTTGTGACTGGCTAATTGGATTTCGAAAAAGGAACCCAGAGCTGTCGTTACGTTGTCCTGAACCCACTTCATCTGCCAGAGCTAAAGAATTATGTCAAGAAGACATAAGTTCTTGTAATTAATAAGACTGAAGTAATTATGTTTAAAATATTTTATAAATGTTAACTCCATAATCTTTAATTATTAAATTAATTATTTTTATTAAAATTGTAAATAATATTGAACTTAAACCCATGATTAAAAATAATGTCTTAGCATGTATTGTTTTTAAACATTTAAGATTTTAAGTGTGAATTATGTCAAGAAGACTGAGTTGTTATTATTAATTAAGACTGCAATTTGATATGCAATTACTAACAAATAAATTTAATATAGTTTAATTGTTTTAAATTTTAAATTTGTTGTACCTAATATATGATACAAATATTATAACTTCAATATGTTCCTTCATTATTAGATTTATAAATACTCAAGAAATTATAAAACTGAACTTTAAACAGAGATTAAGACTAAATTATTAGTGTTATTTTTAAATATTCCAGATTGTGTTTATGTTTTTATATTAATAAACGTTTTAATAGCTGTTAAGTGTTGTTATATWTAGTATGTTGGGTTAYGATAATAAAAAAATGTATTAAAATATTACAAAGTTGAAATTTCATAATGTGATTCTATAACGAAATAGTCAAAATATATTATGGTAACCTATACAAACATTGTATGTCATTTTACCTGAGAATAAGGGTAAAATGACATAGTTCACATTTTTTTAAAAAAGTAAATTTTTTTTTTTTTAATGTAATAAATTTAGTATTTAACTGCAGTAATGTGTGTACCTATAGTACTTGTACAAATATGCAGGTAAGTTTTCAGATGTTAAATAATAATACATTTTTTTGTACACCGATTTTAAAAAATGGTATGTCATATTAAGCCAGTCTCCCCTAATTTGGAGTGTTAGTAATAATAATTTTAGATTTTTTGCGATGAATTTATAGATTTTAWAATGATATATATTTTTTTTTAATTATGCAGGAAATCCAAATTTAAAAATTTCAGTATTTATCAAAGTTGTCGGGAAAACAGGAATTTTTTCACGAAATTGGTTTTTAGCAAAATCTATTTTGGTTTTCTAATTAATAATTGTCATAGGTATATGACATTTTCACTGTATACTACCATTTTCTAWATAACATACAATTTTCAAATATTTGTCTCTCGTAGAACTATTTAAAAGAATATCAATAACTTTTGATAATTATGATTTCAGTTTTTTTTWAATTAAAGTGAATAACAAAAATTTTGCACGRTCAAAAAATTTGGAAATGTAACACAGGGTTCCTGTTGTTAATGGAAATTCAAAAAAAAGTGTATATGAACGTCAGAAAATGAAATTATGATGGAATTCATTTTTATATAAGTATTTAAATTTCAGATATAATGGTATGATAAGCAAATAATATTATTTCAATCACCGTCTACCGCGGTATTAATAATAATAATATCCATTTGTAATATAAAATATCCTAGACTGACAAACAGTTTCCGTTCAGAATTGTTTTTCGTATACAATGATAATATTAAATTATTGAATTCTTACTGTACATCACCCATTTACCTCCTTTTTTACTATAAATATTTATTATGAATGATACCTATTATATCAATAGCTTAAAATAAAAATAATAATTGTGAAATAATCGTGAAACGTGACTTCGAAAGAAAAAAAAACAATTGACACACCTTTACCGTTTTATCCCACGAGCCCGTCATGATACGAGTATTAGATGTTGGTTCCAACCAATGACAAGTTCTTACGGGTGCATCGTGAGCTGCTACTTGCACTGTTTGATTTGTTTCTATGTCCCAGCTTTTCACTTGTTTGTTACAAGACGCTATGAAAACCTTTGTACCGTCACTACTCCAGCAGACGTCTAAAATTGGCATGTTCATAGACTGCAAAGATTTTGGCACGGTTTGGCCGCTCTCTTCGACTTCCCAACAACGTACCTAAGATGTAAATCAAATAATCTCAATACGCTACATCGTTCCACGTTAATATGTTCTTCTCACGCTTTTGTCCCAACTACCCGCTGTGAGAAATGTTTTCTGCAACGTGGCCGGACTAAACTCCATTCCTGAAACGGAATCATCGGGAGGCAACCTGACTTCAAAATCATTATTAGGATTTATGGGATCCGCCATTATCAATACACTTCAAGCCGCCTTAGTCTATAAATCCATTCAAAACGAAACAATAATTTTCGATCATAAATTAATACACTTAACATCGATCGACTTACTTGTGTTGCGGCCGAGCTTGTTGTATCCGTCTTTATGTATTATCTCACGCGTCCGTKTGGATTTTGCCTTTGGCACCAGCGGATTCACAAACAATCGAGTTACTATAAGAAATATACACGGCAGGTGCGCAGCGTTGGTCTATTTAAAAAAAAAAATTAAAAG